CCCATGAGGGAGACCCATATTGAGATCCAGGCTCCTGGCTTCAGCCTGGCACAGCTCAGGCTGTTGTGGGCATTTGAAGAGTGAAAGAATAGATGGGACGAGTGTGTATGAGAGAGAGAGAGAGAGAGAGAAAGAGAGAGAGAGAGAGAGAGAGAGAGAGAGATGGACTTCCTACAGGAGGCAGCTCGTGAGGAAAGACAAGGAGAACCGCAGGAGGGAAAGCGCAGGGGCGGGGACTGTCGCTCCCCCTCTTCGTGGAGGAGCAACACTAAACCCTGCCTAGGCTTCATATCCGAGTCACGGCACCATTATGTCACTCCCCCTCTTCGTGGAGGAACGACACTAAGCCCTGCCTAGGCTTCATATCCGAGTCACGGCACCATTATGTCACTCCCCCTCTTCATGGAGGAACGACACAGGACCCTGCGCTGTTCTTTTGTCTGCTCGGCCTTCCCCGGGTTTGCTGCTGGTTCTTCCCGGGTTGGCTACCATCCCTTCCACCTCCGTGGAAGGGCGGGCCCCCTGCCACTTTCCCCACTTCCGCAGGGGAGCGGCACACCGCTGGCCGGCTCTCTCGGGGGCTGCACAGGTGTTCCTTCAGATAGATGTTCCCCGTGCATGTTCTCTCTCTCCTCCTTTATAGTCCTCTTCCACCAATCCCAACTCTGCTACCCACACGCCAAGTACGCTGCTCTCCTCCAATCAGGAGCAGGTCCTGCTGTTTATTGGTTGAACTGGAGGCAGCTGTGTAGAAGCTGTTTCCTCCTCTCCCAGCGCCATATTGTGGGAGAGCAGATGCATAGAATAAGTCTTAATTCCAGTAACAGTCTAGTCTGAGTTGCTCCCCACAGATCCCCCTTTCTTTTTATTTTTTGGCGTTGATACGTGCCTGTCTTCGGTGCCCCGCGGCACACACTCTGCTCTGCTTGCTAGAGTTGCCCACAGGTGCTTACAAGCCCTACCAATCAGGCAAACCGAATCCGGGTCCTCTCTTCGCCACGTTGTGATGAGGATATATCATTGTCTATTGTATCCCTTTGGACAGGCAGAGTGGACAGTGAGAGAGACAGAGAGAGAAAGGTCTTCCTTTTGCCGTTGGTTCACCCTCCAATGGCCGCCGCTGCAGCCGGCGCACCGCGCTGATCCTGGCAGGAGCCAGGAGCCAGGTGCTTTTCCTGGTCTCCCATGGGGTGCAGGGCCCAAGCACCTGGGCCATCCTCCACTGCACTCCCTGGCCATAGCAGAGAGCTGGCCTGGAAGAGGGGCAACCGGGACAGAATCCGGCGCCCCAACCGGGACTAGAACCCGGTGTGCCGGCGCCGCAAGGTGGAGGATTAGCCTATTGAGCCACGGCGCCGGCGTGAGGAGGTTTTTAGGCGCTGATGCGTGCCTGTGTTCGGTGCCCTACCTGTGTTCGGTGCCCCTGCCTGTGTTCGCATGCTCTGCTCTGCTAGAACTGCCTGCAGGTACTTACAAGCCCTACCAATCAGGCAAACCGAATCCAAGCCTTCTCATTGCCATCTTGTGGGGAGACTTATTGATGTTAATTCATGCCTGTCTTCGGTGACCTGCGGTGCATAAGCTGCTAGCCGCCCGCAGGTGCTCACCACCTCCCTAATCAGGCAGACCGAATCCAAGCTCTCTCATTGCCATGTTGTGGGGAGGCCTTATTTTTCTCTATTTCTCTATCTCCGGGCATTTCTATCTCTCCCATTTTACTTCTATCTGCCAGCATTCCTATTTCTCTCATTTTACTTCTAAACTTCTGTTTCTCTTATCCCTGCAGCTTCCCGGCACCTGCCCCAAGGCTGCTTCTCGGCGCCTCACCCCGAGGCTGCTTCTCGGCGCCTCACCCCGAGGCTGCTTCCCGGCTTTGCGCACTCCGCGGTCTCCGCGCCCTTTGCGCCCGCACCACGGCCTTCGCGCTAGCCCCACGTTCCCTATCTATTAGCGCCCCGTGCGCTCTCCCCGTTCGTGCCCCGCACGCTCTCTGCGCACGGCAGCTTCCGCGAGTCGCACAGCCTAGCTCACGTTTCTGCCACCGGTATTCAGTCTAAGTTCCCCGGGCTAACCTGGTGAAATCCAACCTAGCCTACATCTCCGCCTTACGGTTTGGCTTCCCGTCTTTTGCTCCCCGGGCTAATCTGACGGATTCCAACCTGGCCCAAGTCTCTGCCTCTGGTTCCAGATTTTCGCCTTTTGCTCCCCGGGCTGACTTGAAGAATCCCAAGCTGGCTTACGTCTCCGCCTCAGCCTGCCCCCGCAGCTTCATTTTCCCTAATATTTTTCTCTACCCGGTATGTTTCCCTAAGTTTTCTTCCAACAATATTCCCCTCTTATTTCTCCTGGCTTCTCCCCACAGTCCGTATCCGAGTCTAAGTTTCTTCTAGGTTTCACTTTCACTTTCAACCTGCAGTCCATATCTGGGTCTAAGTTTCTTCTTGCTTTCACTTTAAATCCTAACTTCTTTCCCACAGTCCATATCCGAGTCTATGCTTAGGCTTTCAATAGCTTCTTCCGGCACCTTTTCCATCCGGCTTTTCCCTAGGCTCTTTGCTAGTCTCTCTCTCCGGTATTTTCCCACTTCTTCCCGTTTCTTCCCTCCTAGGTTTCCTATCCTCCTAGGTTTTCCTATCCGAGTCATGGCACCATTATGTCGCCCCCCCCCTCTTCATGGAGGAACGACACAGGACCCTGCGCTGTTCTTTTGTCTGCTCGGCCTTCCCCGGGTTTGCTGCTGGTTCTTCCCGGGTTGGCTACCATCCCTTCCACCTCCGTGGAAGGGCGGGCCCCCTGCCACTTTCCCCACTTCCGCAGGGGAGTGGCACACCGCCGGCCGGCTCTCTCGGGGGCTGCACAGGTGTTCCTTCAGATAGATGTTCCCCGTGCATGTTCTCTCTCTCCTCCTTTATAGTCCTCTTCCACCAATCCCAACTCTGCTACCCACACGCCAAGTACGCTGCTCTCCTCCAATCAGGAGCAGGTCCTGCTGTTTATTGGTTGAACTGGAGGCAGCTGTGTAGAAGCTGTTTCCTCCTCTCCCAGCGCCATATTGTGGGAGAGCAGATGCATAGAATAAGTCTTAATTCCAGTAACAGTCTAGTCTGAGTTGCTCCCCACAGGGGACGAATACAGGGGGTCTGTGTACAAGTGAGGCTGCCGGAAGATTGGGAAAAGGTGGGCAGAAGCGGGGAGGCCAGAGAGCCATGCAGAAGAGTATGGACCTGGTGGAGCTAGAGAACAGGATGGCATGAAGATCTGAGCTTGGAGCCCATTTGGGGAAATAAACATTGCAAAAGCAGCCGTGTGGCAGGACGGATTCGGCAGGGGGAAACAGCGAGGAAGGTAGTTATGGCAGCCCCAACAGGAAATGATGGAGGGTTAGATTATAAAACTGGAAGAGGGGGCCTGGTGCTGTGGCGCAGAGGCTTAAAGCCCTAGCCTGCGGCACCAGCATCACACATGGACACTGATTTGAGTCCTGGCTGCTCCACTTCCAATTCATCTCCCTGCTAATGTGCCTGGGAAGGCAGTAGAAGATGGCAGTAGAAGTGTTTGGGCCCCTGCACCCACATGGGAGATCCAGGCTCCTGGCTTCAGATTGGCTCAGCTCTGGCTGTTGAGGCCATTTGAGGAGTGAACCGGTGGATGAAAGACTCTCTCTGTCTACCTCTCTCTGTAACTCTGTCTTTCAAATAAATAAAATAAATCTTGGGGGGAAAAACTGGAAAAGGAACGGGAATTAGCAGTGTCAAAGATGCTTGAGCCTAAAGAAGGAAGAAAGGTTAGACCACTTGGATTTAAACTAATTTTGTCACTGCTTGCTGCGGATCTGTGATGATGCTGTATGCCATTGCTTTTGGATAAACAGGACTGAGAAAACCTCTCCCCCCACTCTTTGCCCCCTCCTCCCCAGCGTGTGTGTGTGGATGTGTACACATAGGTTGCAGAGCCTGACGCCTAAGGCAATCTGCCCTATACCTTCTGTTGTTCTGAATCTTATTAGAGGGAAGACAGGGAGATGGTCACAGGCATTCATATATGCAGATACTGTTTGGCTTAAATGAGTGACATTCCTCATTTATTGTTTCCCGTAACAGGAAACCCCAAAGTAGAGCAAACTCCAAGTATCCATCAACACGATTTATTTTAGAATATTTTCACTCTGCTCCCCACTCCCCAAACCTCTCACAAGCCCCTATTCTGGCCCCATACATCACTGATGACAGTGGAGAAGGGTACGTGCACTTTGGAGAACAGTTCTAGTTGCACCTGGTAAAGTTCGGTGTATACATCCCGTATGTCTTGGAAATTTCACTTCCAGTTGTTCATCTAAGAGCAATGGAAATCTATGTCCACAGAAAGACTTGCATGGGAATGTTAGCAGTACCTTTTTTCATAACGGCCAGAAACCGGAAGCAATCTAAATGCCCAACAGCAGACGAATAAGCAAACCAGGTTGTAATCCAGACAAGGAAATGCTACGTCATGACGAATATGCTCATTAACCCATATGAGTCTCAAAAGCCTTCTGCTGAGCAAAAGAAGCCAGACTCAAAATCTAACGTAGTGTAAGATCTCGTTTGTTTTGCTCTCTATAAAAGGTAAAACTAAGGCAAGTGACAGCAAGGAGATCCATGGCTTCCTGGGGCTGGGGTGGCGGAACTGACTGCAAAGGTTGGAGAGGTCACCTTTAGCATGTCGGGAATGTTCTACCTCTTGATTGTCATGATGGAGTCTTGGGTGTACGCATTTGTCAAAACTCATCAACCTATAGCACTTCAAAATGGTGTACTTTATTGTGAATAAATAATACTTCAGTGAGGTTGATTTTAAAATCTTGACTGTTGATCACGCCAGAGAAGTGGAGACAGTGCATTGTTGTGATGAATGGGGGCAAATCCGAGTCTTCCTTCTCTTTTTTATTAAAAATTGTAAAATATGAATAATTCAAGCATACAAATTACAGAAAATAATAGAACAGACACTTCTGTACTTACCATTAAGATAAAACAGAGGTAAACACTTTGTCTTATGGAACTCTAAAAAAAAAGGAAGAACAAAAGAACAGGAGAGAGAAAACATTACCATTTCAGGTAAAGCCTCACTTCCATCACTTCTGTCTTCCTCCCCCCTCCCCAGAGAGAGCCATTTTCCTCAAGTTAATGTTTATTAAGCAGCTGCCTGGTTTTGCACATTTGCCATGTAAATATATGTCTATAAATAATGCATAGCATTGTTTTGTGTATTTTTTGACTGTATATAAATGGAATCTACTGCATGTATCTTCAAGCAAATTACTATTATCATATAACATTATTTTTTGGATTTTGTATACATTGATTCAGATAGATATAGCTCATTCATTTTAGCTACCATGTGAATAAGCCACAGTTCATTTAGCCTTTCCTCAGCTAGGAATAGTATGTTCCAACTTCATCACTTTTATAAGAGGGCTGCAATAAGCATCCTCATATGCATTTTTGTATTGACACGTGCAAGGGTTTATCTTGGGTAGCATACAGATGTGGAGTTGCATCGCTTCTCGGCCTTTTGGCTAAGATCAAGTGTAGATGTGGAGTTGCTAGTTTGAAGAACCTTATGGATATGTATGCTGCTTAAGAAACACCATGAAACTTGGTGGCTTAAAACAGTAACTACTTTTCATAAATCTGCAGTTTGTACAAAGATGGCTCATCTCTATTCTACACAGAATCACCTGGTTGGCTCTCCTGGCACTGGAATCCTCACTTCCAAAATAGGATCATTCTCATTATTGGCAAATGAGTAATGGGTGTCACCTGGGAGCTCCGCCGGTGCTGTCAGCGGTGGATCTCCGTTTCACTCTGTGTGTGGCCCTCCGTGCACAGCAGTGTTTTGTATATTTTTGAATGCATGTAAGTGAATGCATGGTGTTACTTGGACTTTCTCACACAGCATGGTAGGTGGATTCCAAGTAGGCCCAGGCAGAAATCAAAGCTTCTTCTGATCTTGTGAATAAAATACTAGTACATCACATCCAGTGCCTTCTATTAGTCAAGTAAATGACTAAAGCCAGCCCAAATTCAATGGGAGGAGTGAAAAAGGAATCTGCAGCCATTGTAAGCCTACCACATTCCACCTGCTAACTCTCTAAATATAGATTATTTATATTTTTCATACATGCAAAAAAGATTCCCTCCTCCCTTTCCCCACAGCTTGTAGTCTAGGGCTACAGATTCACTCTGTGAGGGAGAGGCTGCTGGGGTTTTTCATCCTCCCCCAGCCCCAGGCTGCCAAAGTTCTATTCCTGGCAGGCAAATCTGAAAGGATTGGATCTTCCTTTCATGGCCCAGCTCCCACTGGTACGATGAAGCAACAGACCCAAAGGACTGGCCCCCAAGTGGCTTCACCAGCCTGCTCATGGGATAGAGATTCCACATGAGACAGGCAAGCTGAGAATACCAAAGGGTACTGACATCTGCAGAGCCCACTGGTGAAGCAGGAGTGTCACTCTGGAAGAAGCTTCCCCCAACTCCAGGGTAGTGGTGCAGAAGTTCTGCCCACGGTGACAGGCAGACCTTAAGGACAGACAGAGCACCATAGCACTGCCTGTGATGGTGGGCTTTATTTAAACGAGAACTTGACTCAGTTGTAATAGAAATTAACAAGAGGTCAACGTTCAACCCAGACAAGGGAGACAACATGATGGGAAGAAGTTCCACCCACTGCTCCAATGGAAGCTGACCGTTTTTTTTATTGGGTTGGGGGGGCATGGCCTCTAAGTCTCTGGCTCATCCCCCTTGGCACAGGCACTTCAGTTTGCACCCAGCTTGGCGTTCTGCACAGGCACGGTTGGTTTTTTGCACATGACACGCTCAAAATGGTGCTTCTGCTCACTGACACCTCACCAGAAAGGTCGTAAATAGGTCATACCAGCCTATTCTGGGCACCCCTACTGGTTGGGGAAGTCCCTAATGGGGCAGTAGAAGATCTTTTGCAGTTAGTAATGGTCTGAACACTCCCTGCTCCTATTGGTTTGAAGCTGGGTGGAGCAACCTTTGGTCAGAGGAGGATACATAGATTAGGAGATGGCTATGTAGTCAGTGGGGACGGGCTTGATTTAGTGAGTCCTGCCTCTGCCCTATAGGGGCAGACATTTGGTGCAGTCATTAAGATGCTTGGGACACCCGCATCCCATATTGGAGTGCCTGGGTTCAAATCCTAACTCCGTTTCCAATTTCAGCTTCCTGCCAATGCATACCCTGGGAAGCAGCAGGTGATGGCTCAAGTACTTGTGTCCCTACCACTCAATGCAGGAGACTTGGAATGAGTCTCTGACTGCTGGCATCAGCCTGGTCCTGCCTCAGCTGTTGTGGGCATTTGGGGAGTGAACCAGCACATGGAAGATTATCTTTCTCTCTCTCTCTCTCTCTCTTTCTCTCTCTCTCTCTCTCTCTCCCGTCAAATGAAAATAAATAAATCAAAATTTTAAAAGAGAATGTAGAGAAATTCATACCTACAGGTGTGGTGAAAAACTGGAGATTTTGGTGGCAAGCAATTAAGAGACTGGTAGCTTCATAAGACTACTAAGTACCAAGCAAAATGGCAGAGCAGTCAGAAGATTAGCAGAGAGAATTTGGAGGAGCCAGTCCAGAAGATCACTATTGCAATCACACTTCCCACACAGGTCCTAAGACTGCTGTACTTTTCTGTACATCATTAGGCAAGATTTACTTCAGTTCTTTGAACATATTTATAATAGTTACTGCATTATTCTGTTTTCTATTACTATAACACACTGCCTGATGCTTGGCAACTCATAGAGAAAAGAGATATTTGGCTCATGGTTCTGGAGGTTTGAGGACATGGCACTGGCATTGAATCAGCTCTAGTGAGGGCTGCATGGAAGAAGACATCACATCAGGAGCACATGCAAAAGGAGAGATCATATGGAGACACAGAAAGCCAGAATGAGGTGACAGGCCAGGCTCTCTCTTTCTCTCAAAGACGGATTTATTTATTTGAAAGGCAGACTCACAGAGAGAGAGAGGCAGAGACAGAGAGACAACAGAGAGAAATTTTCTATCTGCTGATTCACTCCCCAAATGGCCACAACACTGAGGTCTGGGCAAGGCTGAACCCGGGAACCAAGAACTCCATCCGGGTCTCCCAGTGGGTGACAGGGGCCCAAGACCTTGGGCTACCTTCTTCTGCCTTCCAAGGCACATTAGCGGGAAGCTGCAGAAGCAGAGTAACCAGGACTTGAACTGGCACTCTGATATGGGATGAGAGTGGCACATGTAGTGCCTTGACATGCTGTACCATAACGCTGGCCCCAGGCTTTCTCTTTAAAAAAAAAAAAAAAAACAGCTCTCCAGGGGCCGGCATTATGGTGCAATGGGATAAACCACCACCTGCAATGCCAGAATCCCCTGTGGAAGCCGGGGCACCTAGCAGCTCCAGTTCCAATACAGCTGCCTGCTAATGTGTTTGGGAAGGCAGCAGAAGATGGCCCAAGTATGTGGGCCCCAGCCATCCTTGTGGGAGACCCAGATGGAGTTCCTAGTTCCTGGGTTCTCAGCCCTAGCCATTGTAGCCATTTGGAAAGTGAGTCAGCAAATGGAAGATCGATCTCTCTCTCTCTCTCTCTCTCTCTTCCTCTTTCTGCCATGCTGCCTTTTGAATGAATGAATGAATGAATAAATAAATAAATAAAATATTTAAAGGGGGAAAAGCAACCCTCCAACCAGGCAGGGGTTCTGTGAGAACTACATCAATTCCTTCCAAGGACAGAACCCCCAAAGGCCTTAATCACCTTCCACTAGGCCCCACCTCTTTTTTAAAAAAGATTTATTTTATTTATTTGAAAGGCAGAATCCAGAGAGAGAGAGAGAGAGAGTGTGTGCGCGAGCTTCCATCTGCTGGTTCACTCTCCAAAGGGGCTGCAATGGTCAGGGCTGGGCCAGGTCAAAGCCAGGAGCCAAGAGCTTCATTCGGGTTTCCCATGTAGGTGCAGGGGCCCAAACACTTGGGCCATCCTCTGCTGCCTTCCCAGGAGCATTAGCAGGGAGCTGGATAGGAAGTGGAGTAGCTGGAACTTAAATCGGTGCCTATGTGGGATGCTTAACTTGTTATGCCATAGCACCGGCCCCATAGGAGTCACCTCTTAAAGATTCTACCACCTCTCCCATTGCCATCCTGGAGATCAAGCTTCCAATACATGAACCTTCAGGGCACAAGCCACATTGGAACCATAGCAGCTGCTTTGAAGCCTTTGTGATTTTCTCATTACATCACATCTAATGACACACGCCAGTTTGTCCCATTATTGGCAATGATAATGTGACAAGTTTGTTAAGGCAGTGTCCCTCATTGTAACAGTAGCCTTTCCTTTGTAAATAGTGTTAAAATTGTCTAAGACTGTCCACTGAGGAGCTCGCATTGTGGTGCAGCAGGTTAAGCTGCCACCTGCAATGCCAGCATCCCATACGGGCACCTGTTCGAGTTCTGGCTGCTCTGCTTCTGATCCAGATCCCTGCTAATGGCCTGGGAAAGCAGCAGCAGATGACCCAAGTGTTTGGGCCCCCGCCTCCCATGAGAGACACCTGGAAGAAGCTCCTGGCTCCTGGCTTCGAATCAGCCCAGCTGCAGGTTGTTGCAGCCATTTGGGGAGGGAACCAGCAGATGGAGGATCTCTGTCCCTCCCTCTCGCTCTGTAGCTCTGCCTTTCAAATAAACAAATAAATAATTTGTAAAAAGGATTTACATGTGATCATGTGAAGAAGCAAACAGAGGCTAGTGAAACATGAGACTGTTAGGATGTCTTTTATTTATGGCCCATGTTCTGTGGAACTTATACATCATGGGGTCCCTGACACAAGTTCTCCCAAACTCTGAAGACCAGGAGACAGTGAGCCCCCACAGAATCAGCCTGGTTTCCCAACACTAGATCAATTTCTCTTGCTTCCCTCCCTGTTCAATGAATGATGATTCTGCTCTAAGGGACATGGGCATTTTAAAAGAGTTCATTGGCTATGCATCAACATCTGTATGGCAAACG